AGGCAAGGCAAGGCAAGGCAAGGCAAGGAAAGGCAAGGCAAGGCAAGGCAAGGCAAGGCAAGGCAAGGCAAGGCAAGGCAAGGCAGAGGGGGCAGTTTGGCCTTGCAAGTTGTATGCGTGTGGGGGAGGCTGCACATGGGCTTCGCGTTGACATTGCATGCGCTGTGTGTGGATTAAACTTGTGTGCGGGCTGCTCTTGTCCTTTCAGCACGTGGTCCAGGCAGCATTGCGCCGGCAAAGCCACCATCAGATCGTGGATCAACTCAACCAGACGCTCAGTTGGGGCTGGGCAAGTCCCTTAGAAGTGAACCACCATACACTACTGCTCAGTGGCCTCTCAATTGTGACATCACAAAGCACGGCCCCCTGCTCACCCCAGTAAGCGTGTCGCGACCGGGCCCGCCTTCCACCAGGTCGCTGCCCTTCCCCTGCGTTGGCAGCAGTGGCCAGGAAGATCAATGAATCGCAGCAGCAATGGTCTCACCCTCTTGACCTTGACACAGTACTCCTGTGCTCCACCAGCACAGAAGGTGCTGCTGGTGCTTTGTAACTGCCATGTGCAAGCATGGCCAATGCATGCAGGGCTCCAAATGCCCAGCTTTCATTCAGCTTTCCAGCCTACCCTGCATCCTCACCCCATCAATGTCATCGTCGCCGCCGCTGCCCACAATCGAGTCTGCAGCGTCCCCGCCGGTGATGGTGTCTGGCCCCTCCCCACCGTCCATCAAGTTTCCGTCGTTGCCCCCAATCAGGGTGTCCCGGCCATAGTTGCCGTCCATCACGTTGAAGCCAGGGCCACCCTCAAGCTTGCTGCGCGCAACATTGCGGTCCAAGTACATGCCGGGGGGGGATCGAGGAAGTCGTAGGTGCTCATGGGGCAGTTGGTATCATGGGAGAGGTGATGCGATAAAATGGCCTGTTGAGTTCTGTGGGGTGATGCGATGCATTTTTGGCCGATGTTGGACCCCCCAAAAGAAGCAGGCAGCTCGCCCAATGCAGATGACTTTAACACGCGGATCGTCAGTGCTCACTCGTTGCCAGCGCCGCCATCCATCCTGCATCAAGATAAGACCAGCGCCATGGCAGTCGTGCAGGCCGCACGGAGTTGAGGTGACATTGTCCGACCAGTGTGCTTTTAAAGCCTGCTTCATACAGTTGCCCAATGCACTGTCAAGAATCCCATGTACTTGCCATGACCTGCTGGCAGCTCTCCCTACCCTGCCGCACAAGCACACGCCCACCTGTCATTCCCAGGACCGCCTCTCAAACGGTCGTCGCCCTCACCCCCTTCCAGACCGCTGGGGCAAGTGGGAGGGCATAAGAGTCAACCTGACAGGTATTGCGGTCTACCCCTCAAAGTGCGGTATGTGTGCACTGCCTTGCCCTGCAAACCCACTCACAAATGAATGCGTGCTATTCAAGGGCTCATATTCAATCGACTCACTCGTCGCCATCTCCGCCGTCAAGGTCGTCGTTGCCAAAGCCGCCGTTGATCTCACTGCGAGGCAAGGAATGGCGGCGCGCAACCAGTTTGGAATGCGTGCGGGTGCATGCAGCTTCAAGATTATTTGAATCCAGCATGTATTCCTTGCTGCAAAAGTTTTGCACCGAATCATCACCCATTCATGTCAGTGAGGATTTCCTTGGCTCTCTCCTACACTGCACCAGGTGGCTCACTCTTTGCCTGCACCTCCTTGGATTCCGCTGCGAGTGCAGGCAAGCAGAATTGTGTTGAATTAATCGCGTTCATGAGGTATTGATGATTATGTGCATTCCACAAGCCATTGCAGGCGATGAATTGCTAAATTCAGCAGCCTCGGGTGGTCTGCAAGCCTGCTGCCGACATCAAGCAGCCGTCTCGCAAGGTCTGTACAGGCGTTATCTGCTCACTCATCTCCCATACCGCCACCCAAGTCACTGCACCAGGGAGCAGGGGCGCAGGAGGAGATAGATGTTGCAGGAATGTTGTCACACATGGGTTATGGCAATTTTTTTGTGACGGTGTGCGCATGCGCACATGTGTCTTTGCAAGAGCGACAACCATATTCACTCTTGGTCTCGTTTGTATAAGGGATCCGTCCTGTATCAACACAAATAGAGGAAATATTCCTGATTGCATTTCGCACCTGCTTCAGCGGCTGCTGTGAGGTTGCGCAGCGCAATGTGCACAGCGTCTGGCTTCGCACTTGAACAAGCAAACCCCGCCACATGTCTGCCGGCGCTTCGTCCCCCCCCCCCCCCCCCCCCCCCCCCCCCCCCCCCCC